ATATCAGACACTTAGGTGCAAGATTATGCCAAAATTCCATGTTTTCCGTCCCATTTTTGCTCATTTCTCGAAGGCAAAATGAGCAAGAACGCTCATTTGTACATCATTCTAGACAGAAGTAAATGGCCTTTTTAGAAAGTGAACCATAGATGGGGAAATGTTGTCAGTTTTCTCAAAAAATGCTTGAATTCAAGAAGTTTTAGATTTGCATGGTTTTTCTTTGAGTTGCAAAATCCACTTGAATATGACGCTGCTTTTTTCGAGGTTTCTCAAGAACCATTTGAGCCACAGAATTCATTTTGGCACCGTTGGATAGAGAATTGAATGGGGCGTCAAGGATCTGCTCTTGTGTGATCGTTCCGTTCGTATGCTTGGGAGTGTCTTACAGCACTCTAAAAAGTCCGAGATCATCTTTTCACATTCACTCACGCTAAAGGAAACTGCTGTTCGTTCCGTTTGCATGCTTGGGACGATCTTGCATGTCGAATTTCGCAGCCATCGCAAAAGAACCAGAAAAAAGCCTAATTCGAGGGACTAACTCACTCACGCTAAATACCGCTTGTGCTCGTTCCGGTTATATGCTCGGGAAAAAAGTGCGTTTGTTCTCTTCTGAAGCTTCTGCCTTCTGAACCTTCTAAATGGGCAAACAACGCAAATTTCCCCCGGGGTTAAACAGAAACCGGGTGCAAAGCGCACCTAAAATCGCCCACTCACTTCAAAAACATCGCCCTAAACTAGACTCACAAAGGCTTGAAATCCCCACTGCCACCACCTCATTCTCCCTTAGAGCGCACGTAAATGGCTGTAGCTTTCGATCCAACTGGGTACAAAACCGTCGAGTGTCCCCGCAATGTGTAGCCCCAGTAGGTTGCCTGATTGGAGCCCATCGATCCATCCTGTTTTGCACCCCGTCCCCGTCCGCCTCGTTGAGGCGAGTGGTAAATTCTGTTTTTCTTCTAGCCCCCTGCCGCTCCACGCATGGGGTCGCTCCTCCTCGGGGGAGACTGCCACAGCAGCTCCTCCGACTGTTCCCAGCGTCCGGAGAACGCGCTCGACGCTCTGCTAGACGAGCTGCAGACCTTCTCCAAGCCCCATCCGGGCACGCGATCATCTTCGGAGAGCTCGGAGCCGCCTGCCATCCCAGCCAAAGGCATCGCCCCCAATCGGCCGCCCCAGATGTGCGACATCGGCCGCAAGGGCAGCATGGACTCAGCTTCGTTTCTCCCCAGCAACAATTTGACTGTCAGCACAGCTACGGGTAGCTTGCGGCGTTTGCATTCCTACCCCAGCGGCTCGGACACTGATAACAGTCCGCCCATTCAGCCGCTGCAAGCGAAAACTGCTAGTAAGCCTCCTATTCCAGAGCGAAACAGCGAGCTCCTGCAGCATGTAGCGGCAGGAAAACGCGTCCCGCCGCCTCCGCCTCCTAGGACGAGCTCCAAGTCGCCGCTGGCTTCCCCCACGTCGCCCAGCCTGCCGCCCCGGGCGGCCGCTGAGCTGCAGCTTGCTCAGAACATGCAGGACTCCGACAAGCCGATGTCCCAGTTTGAGCAGGCGACGCAGAACTTGGGGCTGCAGACGCTCAGACGCAACGTCCCGATGCGGTCGAGCCTAAAAGACAGCAGCAAGTCGCAGACTTTGCCCAGAAACGTCGGCTCCAGCCTGCAGATCCCGAACAGCGACAGCGACGCGATCTCGGCCAGCAACTCGAGCAGCTGCGAAAGCGTCAACTCGCAGGACGGCAAGTGCTCGAAAACGCGCAAGGAGGAGCTGGAGCAGCGCCACCAGGAGCTGCTGCGCAAGCAGAAGGCGCTGCAGGAGCAGTACGCGAGGCTGCAGCAGCTGCAGCGGGGCACCAACGCCCTGGCCATCATCCCGCCAGCGCCCGACCAGCTGCTGAAGAAGACCGGCAGCGAATCGAACCTGCTGCAGAAGATGGGGCTGCAGATGGCCACCTCGCAAATCACCGGGTCGCTGACCAATATTCCCAGCACCCATGTAGGGAAGGTGGCTCCACTGACTGACCCAAGCGAGGGTCAAGAGGCGATCTTAACCGGTCAGCATCAGGAAAGCAGCCAACAGGAGGGCCAGAAGAAGGTGTATGAGACCGAAATCCTATGACCGGGCCTGCAGGAGGATGTGCAGATTGAATGTTGACCCCATTGGTAATTATCGGCCGCAGAAGAGGAGGAAGTCTTTGAAGGCGGCCCGAAGGGTTAATAGCTTTTCGGTTAGGAAATTGTGATCAAAGCAGCAGCCAACAGTTGAAAAATACAGGGACGAAACGGGCAAAAGCACAGTCAAAACCAGCCAGGACAACGTTGTCTGTCTGATATTCAGCCAATGTTCTTCAGAGAAAAAGAGCAGTAAGCGGACGGTTTTGCCTGGAAACTGCCACTTTTGCTCTGGGTGGCTTCTTTTTCATTCGGAAAATCTATTTAATTTCTTTACGTAATGCATGTTTAACCACCACCGAGCTTTACTGTGTTTACTGTGTTTCTGCCGATGAAAATCCAATCTGCATTGTAATTTTAGGAATGTTTCTCTTGTTTGAAATGGCGCTTCTAATGGATCCTCAACGCTTTTTCCCTCAATTCTTTGGCAAAACTGTTCAGGTTTTTTCAAAGCTCTAAAGTCTAAACAAGCATTTCCAAGCCGATCCTCAAAAAGCGATTTTTAGGACTAGTTGAAACTCAACGTTTTCAGTTCGTCCGAGAAAATCTGAAAATGTTCTTTTAGTATCAAATGTCGTTTCCGGGACACTGAAGACTGGAGTCTCAGCGCTTTTTTGCGCCAAAATCTGTCCCCGGTCGTAAACTTCGCAGTTTTGTGTGAACTGGAACTGTGAAGTTAGAAGGAATTAGCCAGTGAAACTTGCGCTATTTGGTTGTTCTGAGTTTCAATTGTGAATAGACAACCACTATTCATTGTTGCTTCTGGTCAAATGTTCCGAAAGAAAAATGTTATTTTTCTTTATTTTTTAAGATGCTTTATCCGTCCAAAGTGAGCAGTAAACTAATTTTTTTGGACTATTCTTCAAGTTTTCTCGCAAAATGGTAAACAAATTGTTTTTATTCTGTCTTTGGCAAAAGTTCGATTTGTGGAAATTTCACCTTAAACCCAACCAAAACTCGGTTTGTTCCGAGCTCTATTCGGTTTAAGTGCAATTTTTTTCAACTCAATTTTGTTCTTCAAAAAAATCAAGGAAAAATTACACTGAAAAACACTTCTGTTGGCAGAATTTCGGTTGCAACCAGACTTCCTTTTCCATTTCAGCCCAAAAAATCGGGAATATTTCACGGTGAAAATGCGTCTTTTGAAACAATCATCCATATAACATTTTTCATTCAGGTTGTCTATTCACAACTCAATTTTTTTAGGTTTAATCCAAGTCTCCTTCAACTAGCAGTCCCTAAAGAAGCATTTCCAAGCCGGTCCTCAAAAAGCGTTTAATTGATTTTTAGAACTAGTTGAAACTCAACGTTTTCAGTTCGTCCGAAAAAATCTGAAAATATTCTTTTAGTATCAAATGTCGTTTCCGGGACACTGAAGACTGGAGTCTCAGCGCCTTTTTGAGCCAAAATCTGTCCCCGGTCGTAAACTTTGCAGTTTTTTTGCGAAAATATCACTATTTAATCGTGCGTTTATCTTATTTTTTAAAGCGTGAACTGGAACTGTGAAGTTAGAAGGAATTAGCCAGTGAAACTTGCGCTATTTGGTTGTTCTGAGTTTCAATTGTGAATAGACAACCATTATTCATTGTTGCTTCTGATCAAATGTTCCGAAAGAAAAATGTTATTTTCTTTAATTTTTCAAGATGCTTTATCCGTCCAAAGTGAGCAGTAAACTTTTCTTCTTCCACTTGAGTTCGAAACTTTAAAATTCCACCACTTAATAACTGTTTGAGCCACATTCCTGACTTGGAGAAAGTTTCTCAGTTCCTAGAAAATCAATGGAGGATCGGACCCAAATGAATTTTTTTGCGCTTATCAACAAAGGCTTCTTCTATTAGTGATCAAAAGTTCCAATTTTTAATGGATTAAATGTAGAACATTTTTCTTAATTACGAACGTGCACGTTTTAAGCCGCATTTTTTCAACTTTTACCTTTATTGGATTACTGAATAAATTGGCCTCGGTTTTGATTGAGGAGTTATTAACCCTTCGGAAAAGCGACCAGCCCACCCCCATATCATTTCAGTTGTTTTCAACTTAAATAACGAAAGCTTCGCCTGTTTTTGTTGAATTTTGTACCCCAAGACACACCCCGATGTGGCCTCAGACGGAAATACTGCGCACTTATTTTTACGAGAAATCTAGTCAATATACATAGGTAGTGGTTATTTTGATAATTTAGACTGATAATTGTAATGTGAGGCATTTTGTATCAATTTCTAGAGATGCATTTACAAGTTAGAGGGAGGTTTGATTGAACCTCCCTTGGTTGATTGTTTTTCAGCTGTGCACTTTAAGTAATCACGATGTAAATTCAGCACATTGCAAATTAATCCGTTAATATGACACCAACAATTAGGTCTAATATTGCTCAAAACGTTTGTAAGCGCCACGTTTAATTAGAGTGGTGGGTTTTTTACTTAAATGTCCCATAAACACCAAATGTGTTGAGTAACCAGTTCAGTTGGGAATGAACGACACAATTTACAGTCTCCCAGTGAAGAATGTAACCCAAAGCCAAAGAACTTGAAGACTTCGATATTTTTACCACTCACTAGCCAGTAGTTTTTGGGGCTCGACTAACCCTGTGAATGTTTAGTTTCCGAATTTTCTATACTATCCATTAATGTACACCAAACTATGTAAGACTATGGACTCATATAACACACAAATCAATGTAAATAGCTGTAATGATGAATGCAAGGTGGCCACTGAACCTTAAGGGTGCCAATGTAATTAAGTATAATAAACACATCACATTGAGAAAGGCTTTGCTAAAAACTCCAAAACTTCCTGTCCGTTCTCCCAGATGCACACTTGAGCCTTCAGGCGGTGTTCAGTGTTTGGGGCATTTTGCACCAGATCGGCGCATTGGTAGGCCTTGCGGCAGCAAGCCACCCCTGTGCTGCCCAGCCTTAGAATGGGGCAGAAATCGTTGTGGCCGTCGCCCACATAAACCACCCTTCGGTAGACGATTCCTCTTTTGCTTTGCTCCTTAATGAAATCCTGCATGATCTGGCCTTTGCACAGATTTCGCGTGCTTAACTGGCAGGAGTCCTGATCGTGAAACATTTCAATCTCCAACCGCCCCTGCTCGTTAAAGGCTCCAGGGTTGGAGTAGACCTTCAGAATCTTCGAACTAAGGCCGTTTTCCTCCAGCCAGGCATTGATAAAGTACGTGTTGGCGTCGCTGATAATAATCACATCATAGTCCATGCTATCATGCAACGTCTGGATTAGATGCTTAATGCCTGCGACTCCAGGGAGGCGCCTTATCAGCCCTGCTATGTCCGGCTCCGTAACCTGGTTCTCATGCAGCACGTTGAAAACCGCCTGCATGAAGGCCGTCCATCCTGCAGATTTATGCAACTTCCTCAAATCAGGAGGGAATTTGCTTTTGTCCACTAGGTCCATTACAGCAGTGTCCGAGTTGGTATCAACAATCGTGTGGTCGAAGTCAAAAACTGCCAGGTTTTTCATCACTTTAGTCTGAAAGTTTCCAGGTTTCAGCAGAGAGGAGCTTGTAGAGGTTTAAGTTGAGAAGAAACCGCAGGAAACAGTGTGTTCTTCCTCAAAGCAACTAACCTGCTTGGCTAGTAAGCCCCCAAAAAGCCTCAGAAACGGTGACTTTGACAAACTGTTCATCTATAGGGGGGCATTGAAGTAGGACATGAGGTACCCCATTGGGTTAGTTTGGGTTTTTTTGGGCCAGGCTTTTTGGCATTTGGCAATGTTTTGACGACTGCTAAACATCATAAAACATTGAGGTTAAACAGGGGTAAAGTCACAGATCACATAGGTGTGATCTGTGGGTAAATTGCAGATATGCCCCGCCCATTGGGGTTGTTTTTTAAGTTTACTAATTAGTTTTTTCTTAGTAGGATAATGGTTGAATGGAAAAACTCTGTGGGTCTAATTAATGTTTTTGTCTATTGGCAATTGGAAACAACCAGCGAAAATCCTTCGAATTCTAATTATATAATTATTTAAAAAGTCAACTAAAATTATCAGTAATTTTCTACATAAAAAACCCTACTGGACATGGGAGCGCATAAAGTGGCCCGAAAGGGGTCCTTCGTCAGTGTAACCGGCGATTTCTTGCGGAATAATTGCGCTCTCTTCAATCCCTGTGCATGGACGGCACATGCAGTCAAGTGGGGCTTTTGTTGTAACCTACAAAACAATGAAAACTTGTTGATTCGCTCTACCTCACAGCTCAGGGTTTTTTTTATAAAAATACATAAACAATAAAAAAAGCGCGCGAATTAATTCAAACCGTCCCCTATCTCGGACGGCCATTTGTAGTTCCCAGACATTTGTGGTGTTGTCAGGTGTTGTCACAAATGTCGATCAAGAATCATCTGAGTTAGTGTGTTGATTTTTACGATTATTGCCCTAAATGGGACTTGAATTATCTAAAAGTGCCCCTTCTAGAGTACAGTGAACTAGTTAAACTGCACTGGATCAGGTACGTACAGTCAATCGCCCGATTTTTCAAAATGGGGCCCCTGGTACAAACCTTAATAAACTTCCTTTCGCCTGGTTTGGCTTTGGGGCAAAAGAGCGACACTGAAGCCTCCCGTTCTCCGGACTCCTGGCAACACATACAGGAGCGCTCCATTTGCCAGATTTTGCTCCCGGACACCTAAATATAACCTACATTAGAGCCCCCCGGTTTAAGGGGCGCGGGATACTTGCTTGAATGTACGAGGCGCATCTGCCAGTGCACGCAAAACTGGGAATGGGCTTGGGAACACAACCGGGATATTGCAAAACGTGAATTACTGGCGTCACTTGGCACTCATCCGTTAAACTTGCAGCCTCTGCACTGATTTTTGGGGCTGCGCTCAATCGGGGGTCCATGCACATGCTGGCTATAATTATCAGCACTAGTGTTGAGTTCCATAGGGCTGACCCAACTGGAAAAAAAAAATTGAAATCGCATTCAGCCGCAAGTTACGCTTTAAATAGTAGTTTTAAGGTATTAAACGCGAAATAGATCATAGCTTTCGGATTATTTTCGCCAACAGTAACTTGTTTTCTGTATTTTCGCACTCCAGTAAGTAAGTAAGTTAAATGGGCACTTTACCTAGTCGGCAAACGTTCTCAAGCACTACCATTCTTTGTCGAAGACTTTGCAAGACTCCGCATTATTTGGCCAAAGTGGAGCGTTTTATAAAAATGCCGCGATTCATTTTTGTTGTTCCAGAGCGCGGCGACCGTGTTCCGCTCGGTTTTTTGCCTGATCAGACTTTGATGAGAATTCCGTGTTCTGTCGATTGATTTTGAGGCTCCACGCTGGTTCAGAGCGGCATGATCGGTCTCCTAGTTGTCGCCTCCTGATGCGACCACCCTGCGCGATTTTGTGGAAACACGCGCATTTTACTTTTTGCGATTCTTTCGTCCAACTAGACTCAGCTTTTTGCTTTTTATTCCCCAAATAATTATTTTTTTGTTAAAATTTGATTTCGATCACAGGCCAATGTTACTTAATTACTGTCCTTTAAAAAAGGTTTGTCCAGAACGCCGCCGCATGGTTTAAAAAGTTAATTGATTGATTCAGGCGCCCTTCAAGATGTCTGTTAAGCAATAATGTCCCTGAAAAGGCGCAGCAACAATCCCAAGAAAACACCGGAGGTGAATTCAAAAGAGGCCCTTTCGACTTCGGAGCTGAGGCTCCGCTACAGAGCCTTAAGGCGACAAAGTGCGGGCCTGGACAAGGAAATCCGGCACCTAACGGCGCAAGGTTCTGATAGCTTTCAAGGTTTTTTTGGGCTAAACTGGCGGCTTTTTGCAGGCGTTACTAAAGATCTGCGGCCTGAAATGCAGGCTTTGCATGCCTACAACGACGCCAAGGATGTTACTCAAATGGTTTTAGGATACTTATCCGACGCTGAGTGTTGCACAGTGACTGAGCTGCATAAGAGGTACGACTTGCCGTTGGATTAAGCATTATTGGGTGAGTTTGGGATGGAGAGTGAGCGAAACTAAAGCGAGTTTAGTCAAGGTTTATACTTTATTAATTTGCTTTGGTAGTTGGAAGCTTTGCAACATTCACTTGGATGTTTAGTCGCGGCCTAACATATTTACATTATACAAGGCACTAGAACCTTAAGCTACTGGATGGATCTTAACGCGAAATCCCATCCTATCTGCTAAAATCGCCGCATTTGTAGCATTTGCATTCGGATGGCTCCCGCAGCTTGATGTCCATCGAGTTCTCGCCTTCGCCAGTCAGTCGCAGCCCATCAGGGTCGTAACAGTGAGTCAGCGTCACTATGCGCTCCCTCAAGTAGCTTTCCCTGCAGCAGTAGCATTCCTAAGCAGAAAACACTGTTTAAAAAACTCAATCGCCTCTAGAACCCACTTGCCTTCAGGAACCCCGTGGGGGTGATCACGGAGGGCTGCACTTGGCTTTTGCAGGATCCCTCGCATTTGTTAACCGCCACTTCCCCATTGCAAGTGCGCTGTAGTCGCCCCAATTCGTCAAACTCCTCTAAAAAAATCCGCGTCTTAAAGCAACGGATGCTCTTAAAGTATTAACACAAACCTTTGGTAATGTGGATGTCTGATGGCAGAGTTTCGCAGGATTCATCCGGCAGTTCACTCACACAGTAGCCGTAGGAGGCGAATATCGCAAAGATCAGCAGCAGCCCCTTGGTAAACATCACGCTTTGGCAAGGCTTGAAGTGTAAGATAACTGCAAAATCGGGCAAGTTAAATCATTTTCGCCTGAAGTACTTCGCTCGAGTAAAGGGCGGCGATTGTAAACGGCTTCTAAGCGGTTGGGGTTTTATAGGCTGCGCCTCCTGCTGTTCGAATGGGGCGCCCCGCTTCGCGCTACATGTTTAGGGTTTTATATGCGTTTTGGGGCATGGCAATTTACATACGGGGCAATTTTCAGAGCAAACATTCACCCGAAGATGTCGGACACTTCGGAGGAGCCTTCCGAGAGAACCGACAAGGACGAGAACGCTTGCCGCGACTTTATTCGCGGCATTTGCGGCAGGAAATTCTGCAAGTACAAGCACGACAACGAGATCCGCCCGTTGAACTTCTGCCACGACTTCCAGAACAATATCTGCCCGAGGATCAACTGCAAGTGAGCTTCAGTTGCGCTGAAAAATCTACTGGATTTATCAATCAAGAGTTTTTCTCTGGGGTAGATTTATCCATTGCACTCCCGATGAGGTAGAAGAGTACAAGAGAACAGGGGACATGTCCAATCGAATCCTGGCGGAAGCCACGCGCAAGAACCAGCTGCCAGGCGCGCCCCCGATCTGCAACCAGTTCAAAAAGGGGCTCTGCCGCCGGTCGCTTTGCAAGTTCCGGCACGTGACGCGCGAGCAGGAGGAGCAGGAGATTCTGGGGTTGATCCAGAACAACATCCAGAGGAAGCAGAGCAATGTGGCTGCGCCCGAGGTCCACTCCATTGGGGTCCCGGTGCTGAGGCGCAGCGGCGCCAGCTACGACGAGTACCAGGATAGCGGCCTGCCATTGGCCAAGCGCCGCTTTGCGGCCGCCGAGGAAATGCTCAACAGAGAGCTGCAGCTGGAAGCTGACCGGAACCGTCCGGTTTTTAAGGGGTACTTTGCTGGCAGCCCCCCGCCTGGTGTGCTTGGCCGAGTGGACGCAACGTAAGGCAGCAATTTCGCTTGGTGCTTGACAGGGTTTTACTGATTGCGGTTGTTTTTTGGGCAGAACCCTGATGCTGGAAGAGGAGAACAATCTGCTGCACAAGGAAATCGCCCAGCTGAAAAAGCAGGTGAGCTTCTGTGTCTTCTGGAGGAATTCTTACTTCAGATGGAATAGACTCAATTGATTCTTTTGAACCCTGTCTTCAAAACATCCTTGTTGGTCCAGGTGCAGGATTTAACAGCAACCAACGAATTCCTGCTGGACCAAAACGCCACTTTAAGAGTGAGCAGCAAGCAGACCACAGTAACAATGCCGGCGGTCACCTTGACCAGCACCAACACACAGCCGCAGATGATCCGCACGGTAACCGCAAGCGTAGCGACAGTTCCGGTCAGTTTGGCCACAGTTACCACCGGAAATCCGGTAACAGGAAATCCGGTTTCCATTGCCGGATGTCCGACGGTCTGCAGCATCGCGTCGCCCGCGCAGATTTTGGCGCCCAGTCAACAGATTTTGGGTGAGTTTCTTTCGAGATCAGCATCGAATCACGCAAATTATCCTGCTTGATTAATGTTTAGTTACAACCAATCCAGCGCAGCAACTGGCGCTTGCCACCTCGACGCAGCACATGGCCAATCAGCAGCTGGCGCTAGCCAACGCGTCGCAGCAACTGAACTCGCAGGCGCAACAGCTGGCCAATCAACAGCTCACTTCGCAGGCCCAGCAACTGGCGCTGGCCAACACCACGCAGCAGTTGACCAGCCAGGCGCAGCAGCTGGCTTTAGCCAACACGACGCAGCAGTTGACCAGCCAGGCGCAGCAGCTGGCGCTTGCCAATGCGCCGCAGCAGCTCACGTCGCAAGCGCAGCAGCTCGCGCTGGCCAATACGACGCAGCAACTGACTGTGGCTAATGTCCCGGCCCAGCAGCTGACTCTGGCCAATGCAACGCCGCAGCTATTGGCTGCTTCCACGCAGCAGATCGAGCTGCATCGAAACGCGATTAACACGTCGCAAGCGATTGCGATGTCCCATGCCACGCAGCCAATGGTCTCGTACCCCATTATGACGCAGAGCCTCAACCATCCAATGGCTCATTAGCTGGGCCTTTTTTTCGTGCTGAATTAGTGCGTTCTTCTGAATAGTGTGTGGGTGACTCTACGACTATGAGCGGAAGCTTTAAGTTTAAAAACTTCTTACTGTACATACGTTTTTGGGCCATTCAGTAGCTTTTGCCAAGTTAGTTAAAGTAGATAGTCAATTAACTGGTAAATAATGTATTTATTTCTAGAGTGTACAATATATTTAAATACAGTATGGGCTTGAAATTAAAAAAGGGTAAACAGTGGGGTTTCCCGCACTTAATATTTCTTCTTGAGCTCGTTGAATCTTCTGGTAAGGTCATCAAAGTCGATTTCGTCGTCTTTGCTTCCAGAGTTCGAGCCTGAGGGCGGCATCTGGGGCACTGATGGTAAGTCGGGTAAGTTGAAGTCGTTGTTCAGCTTCGTCCTCGGTTGCGGTTTAGGCCGGTCTTCGGTGTTCTAACAAGCAATCTGTTAACTTCTGGTTCAGCTACACACCATTTTATGCGATGGCTAAGCGACTACGTGAATGATTTCTACACATTAACACAGTTCGGGTTAATTCACACAAGGCATGCGGATCCTGAAGGTTAGTTGAGCAACGGGGATTTTGAGCTTTTATAGGAAAATTAGACTTTTTTGGTAAAACCCAATGGCTCGGAACAAAAGGCACTGCGTTAATCCCAATTTTCATACAGTCTGCCCAAGCGTTGTGGCCGTGACGCAATCATTACTTCTCCACCAAGCGAGGCGAAAATTTCATGCTATTAACTTATGTCTTGCCCACCACGAAAACAACAGACGACAATTACATACATTACGAGGACACTCTGTAGCATATCTGCTATTCTACTATGAGTTAATACGAGCAGAAGCCCCCAGTCAGAACCATGTAAAAATCCTACCTCCTTAATGATATCACTTGGTGATTTATCTCCAGTACCACCCTAGAATTAGTAAAGGACGAATAAATCAAACGAACAGTGAGAAGTCAGTTTTGCAAGCAATTGCTGAAGTGAAAGTACCTTTTTTACATCAGGAAACACCATGCTATAAGTGGGCAAATTATCCTAAAAGAAAACATTTGCAAATAACTAAGCTACAACTGAAAAATCAAGCAAAGCTAGAACAAAAGCGAGCTTCCGCTCACCATAAAGTCATTGTTGGATGCCTTGTTTTCGTCACTGGCCGGGGGGATGTTGTAGCTGAAAGGGGGCGGCGCTGTGGGGCCTCCAGCTCCTTTTTCCGGGGCCACATACTAAAACAGCCGTAGTTAAAACCTGTTCAAACATCGGGCTGCGCCCACTCACTGGAGGATAGGAGAAGGCTGCGGGATCAGCAAACTGGGGCATTTGAGGCGGCTGGGGGTAGCCGACGAAGCCGGGAGGCTGCGGCAGCCCCCCATTGGAGCCTCCCCCGCCTAGGTTGTTCCTGAGGTCCGAGAGGTCGATGAGAAGGGCGTCATGACCTGAAAAGTTCCAGAGGAATTGCACAAAACCCCGTTAAAGATGCCTGAAAATACCTTTTTCCATTGCCATAACTTGTGGGTCTGGAGTATAGGCGATGTTAAAAACCTTGGCAATTTCAATCACATATTTCTCAACCAAGAGCTTTGGGGGGCTCTGGATGGAGAGCTTGTGCTTCAAGTTGGAGCTGATGCTCTCCACCGACTCTATACGGCAGGCTTCAGCAAACGGCTCCCCATATTTGGCAGTGAGCAGATCGGCGATAACTTTGATTTCCTGTTTAAAAAACCGCAAGTTCATCAGCCCTTGACTCACAGGACTTACGGGAGCTTGCCTGAATATCGGACTGTATTCTGGGGGCTACCCAAATAATACTGGATACAGCCTCGGCTATGCCCTCATCGAGCTCCTTCATGTTCTGGATAAGCCCAAAGCGAGCCAGCAGCAAGTCGCAGTACATCTCCACTATCTCCAAGGCCTCAACCAAGTAGTCCTCCCTAAAAACGGGGCTACAGTCCAACGTGGGTTAGGTTGGGTGGTATCTGACCTGATGATGAACTCCACCCTGATTTTCGCTCGCTCTATTTTGCCAGCGCTAATATATTCGGCAATTTCCCGTCTGGACTTCTCAGTGAGCTCGGACTTTTTCTTTTCCAGCAGCTTGAGCCTTGTGATGGCCAGTCTGAGATTTGTCTTCAACTTTGTGTAATTGGGACCGCTTGAGAACATTTTTCACTAATTTATCAGGCACACAACACAATTTCTGCTTAAACACTCAATTAAATAAAGGATGATTCATTAGTTTAAATAAATATCATGACGTTTCAGTAATAAATAAACAATTTGGGATGTCAATGGCAGCCGGTTAGTTGTGAGTGTGGCTAGATGGCGCTGCGTTAAGTGCGAAGCCCGATGTTTATCCTGTTGGTGCTGCTTTAATGCTCTCTCCGTTGTTCCCATCGGCGTTTCCAGGCGGGGCAAAGGATGGAACTTGATTGAAGTGGCACAGAACATCAGGGGATGTTCTGTGGAGAGAAGTCGCTCCGCGATTTTGTGCGGTTTGTGTTTATTAAATTTATATATTCGTGTCCATAAAATATCCCCATAATGTAACAGGGGGGATGTTCTGTGCATGAATTTCAGCAACAGCCACTAAACTACTAAAAAGGTGCTAGAATCCACAAGAAACCGTGTTTTTCTGTAGTTATAACTTCGTTCGCAATGGAAGTATCAAACCGGCAACGCGGCAGTTGGCACGCCTGGTGGTCTGTGCAATGTCAACAAAAGCCGTCGAAAAATCCTCAATACCGATTGTTTTTTGCCTTCAACTGGTAAATATTATGTGAAAACGGCTGGCTGTGAGTGTTCCGGTGTGGTCAGCATTAAGGAGGGCTGCTTGCCCACTCGCATGTCCATGGTAGGTGGAACGGGGCCCGCAGGGCGCATAACTCGTTGCCCCCGAAAGGGGCTCACCACTAAAGCAGGTAGGCGCAGCGCCATTGAGGCTGCTTCCTGCATGACGATTCTGCCGCTCTAATCTGCTGCTGCTGCTGGTGAAGCTCCAATAACGCTCCGTTACCCCGCTTGGGTCCCCATATTTAGGTTACCAGACTTAACCAGTGTAGGAGGCTACACGTCGGTTTTATGGGTGGATGCATGATCTCTTTATGACCCCCTTAATTTCCCGTAATTATTGACATTTAACCAGGGTTTTACATTTAGTAGTTTTTAGTGTCTTCATCGTTTATTGCCGATTATTAAACTAAAAATCCCCCCATTGAAGCCATTATGCCCAATACCTCTAATAGCCGCCCTAATAAATCGGCAATGATCAATAACGTTTGAAATTTTAATGAACCATCCATTGACTTTTTGTTGATGAGGCATACACGGTGGCCCTTTTTTCTATCATTTTTTGTAGTTTTTGGGGCCCCGCTATGCATATTATATTTGCACAAGATTGGTGCGAAGCCTGATAAAATATTCATTTAGTTTCAATGAGAATGCAAATAGTTCCATAAATTAGATCGGGGACTGAACGTGTTTTAATCCCACTGAAACTAATCGCTATTGACATTGATATTTTAATTGTTCGCTCTCAGGTTGCGTTTTGTCTTCTCAGCTAGTTTGCAGTCTGTATTGTGTGTGAGAATCAATACTAGTCTACAGGCTGTCCTGATCTGTTTGGCAGTTTCGTGAATTTTTGCAAGTTTAGTCTCCAAGGAGGGTCTTGGCTGACTATACGACTTTCCCCCATGGTTTCTCCCCAGTATTTCAGCAATTCTGTGGGGATCTTATTTAGAGCGTTTCGGGTTTCTTCAAGGGAGGGTCATATGGTAGGTCCACTAATCTGGGGTTTTTCTTGTTGGAAAGCTCCATAAAATGTTCCTTTTTCTCCTGACCGTTTTTCAGTCTCCACCTCGCCTTAAAACCTCTTCTTCGGGGTAGTTGCGTTGGAGAATTCTCTGGAGCCCGTCTAGGCACAGTATTTTTCTATTGCTTCATGCCTTTGTCGTCTAGACTATCTTTTCTTCACTTTTGTTAATGTTCTGGTTTGCTTCCGACTTTCCGCGTATTTTATTCGACTTTCATTGGTCTGTAGTTACATTATTCCTTGTTTGCTTCCTTCTCCCAGCCGGTTTTCGCATTCCTCGCATCGTTGGATAGAGAATTGAAAAGTCGATTCAGTCGTAACAACGTGAGTGAGAAAATTTGAATATCAGACACTTGGGTGCAAGATTATGCCAAAATTCCATGTTTTTCGTCCCATTTTTGCTCATTTCTCGGAGGCAAAATGAGCAAGAACGCTCATTTGTATGTCGTTACAAAGGGGTAAAACAGTCGCTATCACTTCATCAAACATTAATAAAAGCTTATCTGGATCACTAGAACAATCCCGGTTTATTTGCCGGCAATCTTGGCTGGCAAATATTTGAAATCGCTGTTTGGCAGCCGTAGTGGCGGCAAACATTAGGAAGTGGCCATCAGTGAAAAGTCGGTTCAAACAGCCAAAAATATTCAAACTCGGTGTCTTTGACTGCAACCCATTTTTCATGTCGAGTAAAGTGCATTTTTGCGCTTTTTGGTCGATTGTTTGGTGGATCGATTCGCCGTTGGGAGCTCAATTAACTTTAAAACGGTTGTAATTCCGTTGGCTGTTTGCACAGATATTCCTACGTTTTGCGTCATTGTGGCGACGTTTTTTTTTTCGTCGAGAACAGACGGAAATCGCATGCACTACGTAATGAAGGACGTAGGTGAGCTCGTATTGAGGTAAAGCAGACCAGGACTGGGATTTTCACGATTTGAGTGAAGGAGGAACTATCTAAACCCGCGATGGTTCCACTCGATTCATGTTTGCAAAACTTTTTTCTTGGGTATTTTGCCTCAAAATGTGTGTCGTTTAAAATGAAAGAATTTCCTCACACCTTCTACTCCAGATTTTTCCAGATCCTTTCATTTCCTGTTGCCCTTCTGGTCAATTTTCAGTTGTTTCTTCTATATTAGAAATGAAGCTTTTGAACTTTTTTCGTGTAGTTCAACAATGTAATCCTTTGAAAGCGACAGGTTTTTCGGCATCAGTTAATTGTTTATAAGGTAAATTTAAAATTGCTGTTCGCGAAAGAGCATAAAGACGTGGGGAAATGAAGTGTTTTTTGAAAGACACACTAAAGAATGTGTAGGTGTATTTAAGCTACTAAAACAGTTTTTTGAAAGTCCGTCCCTGCAGGCCACAGAGTAAATATTTCATTACTGAAGTACACTGAACACAATCATTTGAATTTTCTTGGGCTAGAGTAGTGACAGGACCGAATTCCGCGTTGAAACAAGGAAAAATGTATCTGATCGTCAAACAAGCCCCGGAACGGCGATGCGCCCTAAAAAAGCGCCAGTTTGGCGAAAAAATGTGCCGCGCTGTGAAAAATCGGCGCAAATTTTGTAAGTACCCGAATAAAATGAGAGACATTTGCCGCAAAGCCAGCAAACATATATAATATTGTTTGATGAGAAAATCACCTTTCTTTCCCCGTGTTGCGCTGTTTAGGCAATTAGAATATTGCCGTTTGGGTCCAAAGTTCTCTAGTTGCATAGTTTGTTTGTTAATTTATTATTTGCTTGTTTCAGTGCTAAAAATGCTGGCTGTGATGGAGGCAGGGGCACAAAGTGCAGGTCCATCAAGCGCTTCCGGTTCTTCGGCGCCCAACGAGCCGCCCATCAAAGAATTCCTCAGCTCGGGCCGAACGGGGCGCAGAAACGCCCTGCCAGATATTCTAGGTAAGTGAAAAAACAATGAAAGTGCTGCGGTCACTCTTTGCGTGAATGTTAAAAATAAAATCTTGGTCGTGCGTCTACGGGAATTGCGTAGAAGAATGTCTATTTTAGACGCACGCTCCTAAAATAGAGATTTTGCCATTCGAGAAAAAGTTATACTGGATATTTTCAATTAAAGGCCAACATGCTGTTGTGACCTCGTCAGATCTGCCGTCCCGGCTGCAGGCTTTGAGCACAAAGGACTCAAACTCATCTGGGGCCTCACATCTGGGAGAGCCTCAGCCGGGCCCCAGTTCGGCCAAGAGCTGAACAAATCAAAACTATGTTATCAGAGGAACATATTTAGGCCATCGCCGGTCTGTACGTACGGTGGATGTTACTTAACGTAGTATTTTTGTATCTGAAACAATACTCGAACTTGTCGGATCTTTTGGTGTCCGAAACGTTGCCAGGGCTGTGCAAAGCTTGATCTGTATTATGCTTCATGTAAATAACTGGCCAAGCACAGTCTGGAGCAATGGATTTTTGGATATTTATTGCAGGCAGCTATTTGTAGACTTGCGGTTGCAGTCTGGTGGATGCAAACTTTGCAGATTGCCTCACTAGACGAGCTGTAGCACCCCAACAATCATCATTTATTCACTATTTATTTGATCATCCATTTGAAGCACTAAGTTAGGAACTGTACCTGATAGAAGCCTAATTGCTGTAAAAGCCGCTTTTCATTGATCGCCCTTAGCGCGAAGAGTCGTAATAATTGCAAACCGTTCGGCCCTACTTACGTTCAACAACGACACGCTGTGTGATATTAAATGTATGTTGGTTTAACTGGTTCAATGATGAATCTTTTGAAGCATCTGAAGAGTGTCAATTTTTAAATTATGAATTCTTATGTAAAAAGCTACTGTCTGTCTGCATATGGTCAGACTGGGGAAATTTTACCGCATCAATACGGAAAACCCATGCGATTTAATGCACTTTAGGTGTTGTGACGCACTTATCCTGTTAAACTTACGATAACAGCGCGCAACCAGTAATTAGGGCATAATTGCTTGATTTTGAATGTAAATTGCACGCTTGTTTGCACTCCATGGTTCTGTCCAAAGAACCGCCGTCAGACTGTAGGTTGAATCTCATCGTTTTTAGTTTGCTCCATATAAACTGCCTTTTCGTTTGGTGTTTAGTCGAGATTGCATTTCGTTTCCGGCTAAAGCCCAGTATTAGTGGCTCAATATTGATGTCCAAAACTAGTCATGTAGACCTAATTAACGGAGTAACCATGTAAATTATTATTGTCAATATATTTGTATGGATTTCACAATAAAACCACGTTGGAAAGCTCAATGTTAAGCGTTGTTATTGCGCCCTTTTTGGACAACCTCTTACCAAATGTATCCCATCCATTTTCTCTGGAAAATTGATATACTTAAGGAGAAGAGAAAAGTATGTTCATTGGAACAGCTCCCAGAGTGTACATATTCATGTCCAAATTTTTAACACCTTGTATCATAATAGTGCAAGGAAAAACGTTTTTGATAGATTGAAGCTAAAGCTTTTATAGAAAAATCCTACTAATTTAATACATTTTTTCAAAATCTATGGGTTTAAATCGGGAGAACGCGGGGGCCAACCCAACTAGCAAATTGACTATAAAATAATATACTGCCGCAAAATCGACTGTAAAATAAGCATCCAACTGTAACAATCGAGTTACGGTTCTGTACAAATCTTAATAAAATTCATGATGTCATCAAAACATACAATAAATATGCATGTTTTGAGTTTAAAGTCTGAGCTGCTTAAGCTGTATAGTTATCACTTAAAAACAGCAGCAAAAATTACTTTTTTCGAAACATTACATTTACATTTATTAACATTTACTCAAAATCGTTCCTTGCAAAAATCGACGTTTTTGTCCAAATCCTCGTTTAAACGATAGACAGTTTAGACTCGATTTTGGTTCTACATTTATGACTGGAAGATTGTGAATAAATTTTTTTTTTTAAATCGAGGTTTTTTTTGTATCCCAATCCCTGTTTAAAGCACAAGTTCTTTAAGCTCTACTCAAGTCTTCATTTATGACTGAAAACCCATGAAAAAATTACTTTGCTTGGATTTTTTTCCTAAACAGACTTTTGAAACTTGAAACGCTCTTCAGAACCGCAAGGTTTATTGAAAACCCTCCAAAGCCAAACCCAGAGCTCTTCATTTATGACCGAAAAAACAAAAATTACTTGATTTTTCAATTTTTGTAACCGCTTGAAGTACGATATTCTCCTTAGAAGCCAAAAGTTTCTTGAAAATTAGAGGAAAATCGATAGTTTTTTATCCAGATTCCCGTTTAAAGCATGTTTATTAGGCTCGACGCAAACAGTTCATTCGTGACGAAAAAATCATGAATACAATTATTGTTAAGGTTTTTGTTCAAAATGTACTCCTTGAAACACCAAATGCGTTTTATAACGGCAAAGTTTGTTTAATAAACTACAAAAATCGATGTTTTTTTATTCATACTCTCGCTTAAAGCGTAAACAGTAGATTCGATTTTAGCTCTACATTTATGAGTGAAAAATCATGAATAAAAAAAACGTTTTAGACTTTTTCTACTTAATCGTCTGATGTATTTATTATTCAGGATACAAAAGTATTTCGAAAATGCGCAAAAATCGATGTTTATCTAAATCCCCGTTTAGGGGACGACAGGCTCTTGGAACCGCGAGGTTTATTGATCATTTGGCAAAAATCGATGGTTTTTTTTAAATCAAAATCTTCATTTAAAGCATTAGATGTTTAGGTTCGATTTTAGCTCTTTATTTATGACTTAAAAGCATAAAAAATAACTTTTTTGATGTTTTTCTTTTAGCTCTACTTCATGAGGCACGAATCCCGTTCAGACCTAAGACTTTGTTGCAAATCTTGGAAAAATTGAGGTTTTTTACGCTAATCCCCGTTTAAAGCACAAGCTGTTTAGGCTGGATTTTTAGCTCTTCATTTATGAAAAACTTTGAAAAGATGGCTTTTTTATATATTTTTTTCTTAATCAACTCCTCGAAGCAGGCACGAATTCTCCTTCTGACCTCAAAACTTTGTTGAAAATCGGGCAAAATCGACGCGTTTTTAATCCAATTCCTCGTTTAAAGCATAAGCTGTTTGGCATCATTAAGACTTTGTTGAAAATCTAGCAAAAATTAAGGTTTTTTTATCCAAATCCCCGTTTAAAGCACAAGCTGTTTAGGCTCGATTTTTAGCTCTTCCATTGGAAAAATAATTTTTTCTTAATATTCTTCTTGAAGCAGGCGCGAATTCTCCTTCAGACCTCAAAACTTTGTTGAAAATCCGGCAAAATCGACGGGTTTTTAATCGAATTCCTCGTTTAAAGCATAAGCTGTTTTGCATCATTAAGACTTTGTTGAAAATCGAGCAAAAAGTGAGGTTTTTTTATCCAAATCCCCGTTTAAAGCACAAGCTGTTTAGGCTCGATTTTTAGCTCTTCATTTGGAAAAATAACTTTTTCTTAATATTCTTCTTGAAGCAGGCGCGAATTCTCCTTCAGACCTCAAAACTTTGTTGAAAATTTAGCCAAAATCGACGGGTTTTTAATCCAGTTCCTCGCTTAAAGCATAAGCTGTTTTGCATCATTAAAACTTTGTTAAAAATCGAGCAAAAATTGAGGTTTTTTATCCAAATCCCCGTTTAAAGCACAAGCTGTTTAGGCTCGATTTTTAGCTCTTCATTTACAAAAATCATTGGAAAAGTAGCTTTTTCTTAATATTCTTCTTGAAGCAGGCGCGAATTTTCCTTCAGACCTCAAAACTTTGTTGAAAATCTGGCCAAAATCGACGATTTATTTATTCCAAATCCCCGTTTAAAGCATAAGCTGTTTAGACGGCATTCTAGCTCTTCATTTATGACACAAAATATCAGCTCAATAGAACAAAAAGCATTAAAATATCTACAATAATTTGAAACGATTAAAACTTTTCTGCTAAAGAAATGACTCCGGGCGAATTCAAACAGTAAAATTTAGTTTCAAAAGCACTGTTTATTGACTGGTTTTTGATGATTTCGGATCTGATTGGTCTGTAGGGTTTTGAATAAAACCAAAAAAACAGCGTTTACTGTATTATCAATTTATAATGGAAAAGATTCAGTAAAAAAACACTATACACTTAGCTCCTAATATATTACAGCGCTTAAAAATAGCTCAATAACTTAATACCCTCGGACATAGAAAGGTATTGTGGCCTTCTACCAAAGTTTTTTTCGGCTGGATCTATGTACATTAAGGGCGCAATATATACAAAAAGACAGTGCCGGCTTCAGGATATGACACAGTTCAGAATGATCATAACAGGGCGTCAATCGCGTGAATCACTCCGTTTGTGGCCGGAATATTCGGGGTGCCCAAATGCTGATTGTTCACTTTGGTTTTGCCTGGAAAATTAAGCAATTAATAACAGTAATCATAATGGGTCGATATTACAAAAGCTCGAATGGCTTTACGGCGTGTGATAATTCGCAGCGTATTATTGCCTAAGGAAATCGCCGAATTCGTTAGCTAATCAGGCCGGTTTTGAAACAACCAAGTAAAGAAGAAAGCACTAGACGGGACTACTCTTAACCGGCGGGCAATTTACTTTAACATCAATACCTCGTTAGTCATAATGGCCATCCTTTCTCCATGCGATTGTTCCCGGTAATTATTGTCTTTTGATTGTGCCGCCCAGGCGAAAGTAAACGTGTACCAATCAGAGCAATTAGAGCGACTTCAGTGTCCACGCATCCGAAGATGACCACGAATCCATTGCGTAAGGCGAATATGTGCATGTGAAATTAGGAAGAAATGTGAAAGTGAATCTTCTAAGTTCAATGTCGGCCACCAAACCGGAGGCAGTAGATGGCAGCCTCATTTTTCCTTAATCTTCATCGCCCATAGCCAGAAAGTGAAACCTTGATTACGTAAAAAACCCACTCAAGGAGCAACGACCAATATCCGGAAATTTGAATTTTTATTTATTACCATTATTTCCTACTTAATAAGCGGCCGTTAAAGTCGGGAAATTATCAACTTTCTCACAACCTTACCAGAATGGCTAAAAGGGGCCTATTTAGATTCTTATCAGTCAATAGATAGATAGAACACTATTTACTTGGGCCAACTAAATGCCAATAAAAAATCATTAAAACACAACCACAAACCAACATAAGAGTAAAATCAAGTCATTCACTACATAAGCACGCTGTTTACGCCCAAAGAAACGCCCAAGAAAATACCCATAACTATTGACCGATAAACCCTCACAAATCGGTCACAAATCGAGCCTTACCAGAATGTTTGCTGATGGTAATTTGCGAGTCCTTCTGAAGACTGTCCTTGACTTGATAGTACCGCATGCCGTTCGTGTATAACGCCCCATTGATCAGATGTCTGAGCACCAGTTCCTTGGCCAGGGCTGGATCAGTAACGGTTTTGGTCAGATCCTCCGGACTCAGAGCCGCAAAGGCTTTATCGGTAGGCGCAAAAAGCGTGATGGATTTGGGCCCTGAAAACACGTTCGTTCAATCCGGTTTCCTTTTTTGTTTGGGGGCCTACCTTGAAGCATCTCAGCAAAACCGGAGGCGAACACCGCTCGTAGAAAGGAGGTAAATCGGCGCTCTCGATCAGCCTGCATGGTCTGAACCAGGTCTCCTACCGGAAGCGGGAACATCACTCTGTCTATAGAGTGGGCGATTCCTTGCGGGATGGGCAGGTCTTGTTGCTCTTCAATCACTCGAGCTCCGTTTATTGTGGTAACCTGCCGATGTGCGTTAGTTTAGTTGGAAAACAGGACTAAAATGCGGGACAGTGTTTGGAACCTCTAAAACTCCAGAAGCCCAAATGGGCTTCGAAGCTGAAAAGCTTGTATATCAGAGGCGGTTGACTTTGTCTTTACGGCCTTTGGCCCTAAACTTACCTTCACATCATTCCACTCATTGTCGTGCATGTTGTACTGATTGACCCTCAATTGAGTGCCCGCCAAAGACACGCCGGTCATTTCATCCTGTAGACTCGATATGGAAAAAGCCCCCGGAATGACGTGATGTAACAGCAACTGCAACCCTCAATTTTGAGCAAAAAACCAGAAGCGCCCTTGAAACTTACCCCACTGAGCAGCCGGGGATTCTCCTTGAACTTCTCCTCGGCCCGCTCTGGGCCTCCCAGCTGGACCAGCAAGGTCCGGAAAGCCTTATCAGTAGGCGCAAACACTGTATAAGGCCCAGTATCGTTCAGAACAGTATCCAGGCCGGATTGCTTGAGGAATCTTGCCATTGCATAAAGACCTGCCAGACAGGGACATTTCAAACCAGGCCTACTGTGCCAGCCCAACTTACCATTGGATTTCAGCACGGCGGTAAGTTCGGGTAAGTGCGTTGGGTCAGATGGGGGCTGCGAATGCGATTTTACGATGTATTCGGTCGGTTTGGGCTGTTCCTCAGTTGCAATCGTCGGGCTGGGCTCTGATAGGATGGAGTTTTGGTTGCTGGTGGAAATAGAGGAGGCCTGCTTTGATTGGTCTTGGCTGGACAGTTTTCCAGTTGTCTGGGGAAGGAGCCAATAATAACTTTCCCAGAGTTCGAGAGCCACAAAGCCTTACCTGGCTGAAGTCATTTTCAAAAATCGAGTTCGGCGTAGTGCTTCGACTAGACGTGTGGATGTCCCTGGCAGTGGTGTAGGCGCTGCTCGTTGGTAATGAGCTGCTGGGGAACGTGCCTCCAGCGCTGGTGCTCAGAACGGGAAAAGTCTCCGCCTCTGCCGACGTGGAGAAGGTGCTCAGAAGTGTCCCGGTAGGGGCAAAGCTGGCGTCCTCATCAGTGGCAAAGGAGTTGGGAGTGACTGCAACCAAGCACCAGCTCAACGTCCCAGTCCTCAACGGCAAACAACCTGCTCTTACCGGTGACTGAGATTGTTTTCGGGCTGGTTGCAAAGGTGGGCCTTGCTGTTGTGGTCACAGTGGTAGGCGGACTTAAGGTGGTGGACGGTAGTCTGATTTCCCCGGCCTTGATTTTCTTCAAAATCGAGTCCAAGTCCACATCCGGTTTCTCCTTGCCATTTCCCTTCACTCCCTGCACCTTCAGGCTGCCGTCGCTCTGCTCTTCCAGCAGCACGAAGGTCACTTTCTTCTGATCGGGGATGGTGCTGGGGGCTTTGATGCTTTCCAGACTGCCACTGGCATCTGTTTACCAGTTAGTTTATTTATATCCACAAGCTGGTAAGTTAACTTACCGGATTTCAGTAGCTGGAAGTCGGTTCCAGGTGGGACCACGTCTTTGGTCAGCTCATCAAACACTGCAGTGGGAGGTTTCACAGTTGTGGTCTTGGCAAGAACGAGTTTTTCTGGAAAATGCATTAGTTAGTCAGGTTTTGGCTGGAGTGTGCAGGTCCAACCTAAATCGCTTCCTGGTTCCAATGGGACGCCACCTGGCACCAATTTGGGGTCGGTTGTTCGAATCACTTCCACTTTTTGGCCGTTGGGGAGGGTGATTTCTTGCGTTTTGTACGACGGGTTCGAGGAGGTGGAGCTGGTTTTGAAGATTTCTGCCTTTTGGCCTGGAAACCCCTCATTTATTATTAAGGAGGAGTTTTTTGGAACAGTCACTCACCGTCAGGTAAAGTGATTTCTTCCCCAGACAGTCCGCTGAGTTCGCGTCCCTCCTTGCTGCTTGCGATAACTTTGACTTTCTGCCCACTGGGCAGGGTGATTTCATCGCCTTTTTCCACAGACTTCGAGGGCCTTGAGGGAAGTTCAAAATCAACCTAGTTTTGGGTTTAGTGGAGTTGCTATACCTTGGCAGTAGATTGGGGTCGGCCCTGATGGCGATAACCTTGTCGCCATTAGGCAGGGTAATCTCCTCCTCTTTGCCCTGGGGAATCAGCTTCGGATCCACATCTTCAATCAGCTGCACCTTTTTGCCATTGGCCAGCGACACTTCTCTGGAAGAAAGATTCTTCGGTAGTTCGTCTTGGACGGAGGCCCCAATCGCAGCCCTCAGCTGCGCGAGGAGATCCTCCCTGTTGATCTGTTGGCTTTTGTACTGTTTCTTCAAGCTGTCCAGATCGTCCAAGGACTGAATCGACTTGGCCTAGAGCAGGAGCATAACACGAGTTTCGCTTTAAGACTTGCGGGTTTATAGTAGGACTTACCCTAGAGCTTTGAGTATTGGGGACAATCGTTGGCAGAAATGAGGGCTTTTGGTTGGATTTTTTCGCCGTCTTTCTGGTTGTGGTCGGTTTGGGGGTTGTAGTGGTGGTGGTGGTGGTGGTGGTAGTGGTGGTGGTAGTGGGATGCTCCAAGAAGTACTGTTTCAAGGACTTTTGGAACAGCGGGGCCTCTTCCGGGTAGATGAATCTGTGGGGATTGAAAATGCGTGATTGAAAACCCCAAATAGGGGGCGCTAGGCGTGGCCTACCTGGGCAGGGGCTTCGAGTAGCGAACGGCCAGCCCTTCGCCCGACGTTGCCACTGTTTCGTACAGCTTTTGCCTTTGCTCTCTTTGGTCTTTGAGGAACTCCTGGTGCTCCTGCTGGGCCTTTTTCAGCGCCTTTTCGTACTGTTTTTCCACGAACTGATTGTGCTTCTCGATGATGGCCTTTTTTTCTTGAAGCTCCTGGAACATGTGGGGATTCCAGTCCAGCCCACTGAGGCTGCGATGCCTCACTTACCTTGATCCGCTGCTTGTTCTGCTCAGGATCCAGCTGTCTGATCTGCTCATTGATCACTTCGATTGGATCGGCCGTTGGCCGCGTGTTGAGGAACTGGTTGGGGTGAGTTACTTGGTTGCTGTAGCTGGGCGTGAAGCTGGTTTGGGTATGGTGCTGAACCACTGGCTGCAATTGGCAGGAATTGCTTTTTCTGGCTAGATAGCTTAGTGTGCTGTTGGGACTTACTGCCGATGGTGTTCCGATGCTGGGTGGAATAGAAGGGAAAACAACGGAGTTCTTCTGAGGCTGCGGGAAGAAGTTCTGGGGGTTCGACAGCTGCGCTTGGGGAGTGGGCAAAATGGCCCGCTGGTAAACCTAAGAACGCAACCAATTAAACCACAGGGGCGAAGGTTGAAAGGCTGGTTCAGCTACCGGCGGCTGAGCCTGGCTCAGATACTGCTGCTGAAGCTGCTGCCCGAACAAGCCGCTCTGAGCCAGCAGCTTCTTGTTTCGGCTGATGAACAGCTGCGGTTGCGGGATGCCATTGTTGCCGCGCTGCTGCAGATCAAAGCGATGCTGATGCTGCTGCACGTCGCTCAGAATGTGACGCTGTTGCTGCGGCGACAGCTGCTGCTCTTGTTGCTGTGCGAATGGTTGCTGGAAAAAAACCGTTTGGGTTGATTTTTCGCTGAGGCTAGGCAAATAGCATGACCACGGTCTGCTTGAGTGGCTTTCGCTTTGTTAGGAGGTTTTTGTTGGTTGGACATGGTCTGGTTGGGCTCTTTAGCCGATGTTTGTTTAAATTGGGCTTTTCTTCTCGTTATGTCATGATGGCGTGAGCTTTAGGAAGCCGCAGTTTTTTCCAAGGCCGGCGGTTTTTGAATCACGCAACAGTTTTTCTTTCTTCGCGCCTCATTCTGGGTTCGAGTTAGTTCTCATGTGAACGCAGGCATTTTTTCCTGCCGAGATTTTTTGAATTTTTCCACGGCCTGATGGGGCACACTGGATTACGCAATAGTCGACAGATGCGAGGTTTTTCGCAATTAATAGTTTATGTTGATGATAGGCTTGTGCAATTGCCAAACGCGTCCAGCACTCGAGAGCATTAAAGTTTCGCAATAAGTAAAAGGGACGACCAAAAGCGTTCCCAACATCTCCATTTTAATGACGCACTAACGAAGAAAATCGTTGGTCAATCGATTGCATCGATGGCTAACAAATCGCCTATTGAAAATTTAAGTACTGCGATCTGCTTATTTAGCAGAGTCACGTTCTTTTTTTGCTCCCAAACTGTAATCTTTGCACAATCGGCATCGCTTTTAAGAAATTTCGGTTATGCTGGTTGTTATGGTTGTTTTCCAAAAAATAAGTCAAAACCGATAACTAAACCAAGTGTGTCTTCATTTAGCGCTCCAAAAATGGCGAAAAAACCGCATAGGTAGGTTTCGACATGGCAAGCAATCGCAGCATCCAAAACATCCGTCTGTGCTACCAGCAATTATTGGCTGTACTTTCACTAAGGCCGCAGGCCTCCGATTCCACTCACTTCTTTGGTGCTGCACATTTAGGTTCAAAAAACGTTTTTTATGCGATTCGTTGCCGTTCTCATTCACGAACCGATTCGATTCTGGCGCAATCATTTCTGCATCAGCGTCGAGAAGATCGACGATTGATGCTGGCCGTTGGTCAGTTTTTTTACGCAATTTATCTTCCAGTCCATGGGAAAAGTTGGAATTTCTGGAAAAATCTCTGTCTTTCACCGCCTGTATGTTTACCAATTCCGAAGCCTTTAGATTTATCTACCCCGATTCCAAAGTAAGTAAAGCGGGATGCTAAAGTTTTGCTATAAAACTTTAATAAACAAGTTACATTGATTTTACTTCTTCATTCCTTGTTCAATGTTTGCAAGCTCCCTTGCAAAAAATGTACTCGAAACGTTGACAAAAAGTTATTTTTTCACAAACTATAGTTGAGAAGTCCACATTTTTTCGATTTTTGCAATGGTTTGCAAACAGACAGTGTCTTTCTTGGGCCAACGTTTCTCAAAATTTTTGAGGTACTTAGAAGACAGTTAACCCTAAAACATCTCAAAAGCGTAGTTACGCTCGATTAAAGTAGAATTTTTGCCAGTTTAGGAAATTTCAGTCGAAAAATGCATACTTTTACTCAACTGCACTCTGTCGGGCAAAAGTGTATATTTCCCAACCCAAAGTCAGTAGCGACTCAAAATTTTTGAGGTATTTAGAAGACAGTTAACCCTAAAACATCTCAAAAGGGCAGTTATGCTCGATTAAAGTTGAATTTTTGCCAGTTTAGAAAATTTCAGTCGAAAAATGCATACTTTTACTTACCAACTGCACTCTGTCGGGCAAAAGTGTATATTTCCCATCCCA